CTGCTGCTGCTGCTGCTGCTGCTGCTGCTGCTGCTGCTGCTGCTGCTGCTGCTGCTGCTGCTGGTGCTGCGGAGAGAAGAGAGAAGAAAGGGGGCCACCATCTCCTCTACATCCTCCAGTCCGTACACCACGAGTCTGTCTGCTTTCGTTTGGCCTGCATGCATGCATTTCTCCTGCAGCAGTTGTAGCAGCATCGAGCGCTGCTGCTTCTGCTGCCTCCGTTGCTTCACCGCTGCTGCCCTGCTGCTGCTGCTGCTGCTGCTGCTGCTGCTGTTTGCTTCTCTTGCAGCTTGCACCTCTGCATGCGCCTGGCCTGCAAGCCGCACCACCGCATGCAGCAGCTGAGTTTTCTCTGCTTCGGTTTTGTCTGCAGCGAGCCGCATCAGCTCCCCCACAACTCCTTCTATCATAGGTTTCATCACTCTCTCCCTCCTGTTGCTGCTGCTGCTGCTGCTGCTGTTGCTGCTGCTGCTGCTGCTGCTGCTGTCTTCCATCTCGCGGATTGCCTCCTGAAAAGAAGCAGAGAGACGGTCTGCTGCTAGCGGGTCGGCGCTCAGCTGCTGCAGCAGCGCAGCTAACTCATCAGAGGGCTGCAGCTCATGCTGCTGCAGCAGCGAGAACATATTTTGTCTGTTCAGCAGGAGCTGTTCTTTCTCCCCCTGTGGGGTTGGTGCTTTTGCCTCTGCTGCTGCTGCTGCTGCTGCTGCTGCTGCTTTTGCTGCTGCTGCAGGGAACAGGCCCAGATAGCTGGCTCGCAACTCGCGCTGTTTGTCTTGCACGCCGCTGCAGAGAACTTCTTTGTATGTGTCCAGTCTCTCATCCAGACCCTGCAGCAGCACGTCAACCCATAAAGATAAATACAGCAATTGAAACTGCTTCTGCTGCTGCTGTTACTCTTACTGTTGGTATTGCTGCTGCTGCTGCTGCTGCTGCTGCTGCTGTTGGTGCTGTTGTTGCTGCTGCTGTGATTCTAGGTTGGGGTCTGACCTCCTGTTCCAACGTCACTGGGTCTATCAGCAGCAGCCAGTATGTATCCCGCAGCACCTGCAGCTCTGCTGCTGCGTCTTGCAGCTGTAGAGACACCAGACGAGCCGCCAAGGCCTCCTTTTCCACTGCAGCTCTCCCCGCCTCTCTCATCTTAGCCCCCGCCTTCACCAGCTCTGCAACACATGCAGTGCCGCATGCAACGCCGCATGCAACGCTGCATGCAGCCACAAGCCGCTTTCTATGCAGCTCGCAGCAGCCTGTGTTCAGCTTAGAGACAGCAAAGGCATTGATGCGCATCCAGGCCCACCAAGTGAGATGCAGGTGTACATACACACATACACCTACAATATACATACGTACACATACATGTATTTTTAATGCAGCAGCAGCAAACTACTGCNCACACATACACCTACAATATACATACGTACACATACATGTATTTTTAATGCAGCAGCAGCAAACTACTGCCCCTTTCTTCTCACCATCTATGTTGAACACCCGCACCAAGTCCCTCTCCTTGTTCGGCAGCAGACAGGCTGCAAGCACTTTGGCTGCAGCGCTGCTGGGGGCCTGCATTGGACCCTTTAGAGGAGCGCCCCCTGAGCCCATACCCCAGAAGTACTGCAGCAGCTGCTGCACGTCCTTCTCGTCCTTGAGGAAGGCTTCAGTGTACAGGCACCCGTCCGTCAGCATCGTAGACCCAACCAGCAACCCACCGCTCGCCAGGAGAGCTGCAGAAAAAAAGCAAATAACAGTGAAACAGCACCAGTATCAGCAGCAGCAGCAGCAGCAGCAGCAGAAGCAGGATTAGAGGAAACTAGCGGCATACAAGAAACGCGAAACACCACCGAAACAAGTCCAACAAGAAGCCAGGTCTCTCGGTACACTTTTATCGCATCAAGTGCAATACTCCCTTTTATTTCTGTTTTTTCGTTTTTATACAGTTGAAAATAGCGAGAAAGAAAAAGGCAGCTAGGCTAGGGAGAAAGACCCCCACCTGCTGCAGCGACGAGCAGCAGCAAGAACGAACAGCTGCAGCTGGTGGCCTTGCGGTCTACCAGCGCCTCGCGATTGCAGCAGCACAAGCAGCACAAGTACAAGGATGCCAGCAGCACCAACACGCCCATCAGACTGAATGTCACTATGGAAACCTGAGGAACACCTCAGCAGCACCCCGCACAGGCCCCAAAGGATATATTCTCCTCCGTCCCTGCCGTCTTCACAGCTGGTACCTGAACATTCCCTCTCTATCCGAAGCCTCAGCGTGCGGTTACCGGTGACTCGGATGCTCCTACAGTGGCGAACGAGACAGAACAGCTCCGACAGCAGCAAGAACAGCAGCAGGAAACACACGGCAAGCAGAACCAGCTGCAGCAGCAGCGACAAGAGCAGCAGCAACACAGTCCTCCTCACCCAGAAGAGAGGAGTGCTGAGTTTGGGTATTTTATCTACGGCTGNAGCAGCAGCAACACAGTCCTCCTCACCCAGAAGAGAGGAGTGCTGAGTTTGGGTATTTTATCTACGGCTGGGTGGGCGGATCTGAGAGTCTGGCTGAGGGCCTCCTTAGCCGTTTGCAGGTCCCGCACAGCCGCCAGGCCGTCTGCCTGCCGCACAGACGTTTCGATTTCTGCAGCGAGCTGTTCAGATGCTTCGGCGATAGCGAAAAAGGTGGAGGGCAGCAGATGAACAGCCGTATCGAACGAACTCAGCAGAGAAGGAGCTGCAACAGACACTGGGGCGATATGAAACGTCAGCTCCTCGTTCTCCGCAGATCCTCCAGACGCTGCCATGCCGCTGTTGCCCCGTCGACGCAGCGTCTGACAGCCAACAACAACCAGCGCAAACAAACCATCAGAAACCCTCAGCAGCCGACACACTACCAAACGCAAGAGAAGGAAACAGTACGGCAGGTGCTGCCCAAAAATCAATAAGAAAAAAAAAAAACTTTCTGTTGCTTTTTGAACAGCAAGTACTTCGTTTGCTGCTCTAACAGCAAATTGAATACTCTTATGCTGCATGCTGGCTGAGGGGAGGTCCTGGGACCCGCAGAAAGAAGAGAAGGAAGCAAGTTGCAGTTCGTTGCGCTCACCTTCTTCAGTGCCTGGAGATTTATCTTCATCTCAGCGACAGTCTCGTTGATCCGTGCAGCCACTTTTGTCGCCATACGGAGTTGTTTTGAAAGCGAAGCCTCGCCGTTGGGGTCCAACGCCATGAAGAGGTTTTCGAAGCTGCAGGCCAGGCAGCGCCGAAACACCCAAGCACATGTTTCAAGCATCCTCCTGCGGCTGCGGTTAAGAAAGTTAGTTAGTTTAGTTCTTTACGAGCATAACAGAACACATATACAGTATGCCCTCTGTGTTTCATAGACCTGCTTGACGAGTCACATGCAGTATTCCTGACTTACTAAGCCAAGGCCGGGACAGCTCCGATGAAGCCGGTCCTCTTGGGGGCCGTTGCTTCTTCGCTTAAATCCGCATCGTCTTCCTGCAGCAACCTGGGGAAAGCCTGGCCCGCGCCAACTGTAAACAGATCAGCACCCAGTGGCTACTGCCCACATCTGAAACGGAGTCGTACGTCCTGAGGAAGCTTACCGCCTCCAACCAGAATAACAGCTGAAATGATGGTTATTAAACTCAAAGACATCAACATGAAGGGCTGCAATACACTCACTTGCTTCTCCCAAATAAGGAAATCGGTCCGCTGTGCGATCAGCTACTGCCGCGGGCTGCAACAAAGGAGAGAAGGGTGACGGGCGGTTGGCTACTGCGGGTGCAGATGGCGATGCGGAGTTGAAGAGAGTGGGGGAAACGAAAGGCGACGGAGAAGACAAAACACCCAAATCAGGGGGAGAGGAGGCGGAGGGATTCGCAAACGTTTGACCGTTTATGATAGTAGAGGCCGCCTGGCCTGCTGAACAGGCCAGCTGCGACAGCTGCGCGCGCATATCGACCACTAGGTACATCCCCACTGCCAGCGCAGCAGCTACTGTACAGAATGCCAGAATCAAGACGAGGTACCGCATGCCTACGCAAGAACTCCGCGGCACCAACTTTCGAACACTGCCCCGATAGTGGGAATCTGAAGCGGCTGTGCTGCTGCCGTTGGACTGCCATCTCTCCGCAACAACCGCATATCGTTTCGTCGACTTGAAGAAGATACGAAGGCAGCAGAAACAACTGCATAGTCTGAGACGTAATGCGTGACTCACATACCGCAAAACTGAGTATTCAGTACGTGGAACAACACACAAGAACGCAATTCAAATCACAAAGAAACACGATGCTCCATTTACCTCTTTGAGCAGCTGCAGTTGCGAAGGCAAAACAGCAACAAGAACAACGGCACCAAGAGCACCAATATCCCAAGACCAGCAAAAAAAGGCAGGAGGCTGTAAGGCATCGTCTCGAAGTAGGAAACGCTCAACTGAAGTGATGACGGCATATTCGTCTCAAATGAAGGAGCTGAGTCGGGGACGGGTGCAGCCAACTGCTGCAGGGAGCGTCCGTGTCCAAAGTTGATCGGTGCTTCGGCCCCCCATGAATTCGCGTCATTCGCAACAATAGAAGAAAAGAATTGGCCTTCACGGTCTGTCTTTTCTGCTTCATTGTTGCCTAAAGATATATCTTGCCTCGCAGAGGAGCTAACGACTGCGTGAAATCTATCGACGTGGGTCTTTCTACTGGTCGTAATGGCATCCGGGATGGCCCTGCTAAGCCCACTCTTGACCACGCACACGTTGAAGGCTGCGCGAATCGGCTGAGCAGATAGGAAGCCGGAAAACATCACAAGGAAACCACTGAATACTCCAATTCGTTGAACACTTCAGCCTACTCAGTATCAACAATCTAAACTAACACCAGCGGAAGGTGCTAACTTACGCGGGGAATCGCCGAGGTATTGGAATATTGGACAACCCTACAAGCTTCATCCCGAAATTCGTCCACCCAGGCAGCAGTCTCCCCGTCAGAGGACTTTACACATCCTTGCGAAGTCGCATCTAATGCGCATGTAGAAGATGTGTCCCCGGTCGAGCCGTTAGAGGCTTGTTCATCCTCCACCGCAAGAAATCCCTGGTTGACACCCTCCATTGTGTATTCTACAAGAGGATTGAAGCCCTTTGGAGGTGTGAAGATGCTGGTTAAGCCATATCATTGCCAAATGAACCCGCTTCCGGTGGAGTGCCACAGAGCGCCGGCTGGGTCTCCCTGCACGAATACGGCCTTCTTCTCGTTCCCGAAAGTTGGAACAAGCCTTATGAAAACTCAAACTATATATCTCCGCTTCGGACTGGAGACGGGTTTGAGACGATGTTGAACTCAATACCAAGGAGCGAAAAAACATCATCCGAGCCGCATTGGAAAGCGCCCACTGTTTACCTAAACACCGCTGAAAACTCGCTTAATTACTTCTGTTTGGACGTATTATACGGTTAAATGGCCAAGTTTTTGGGAGGAAGACAGACAAAGATTGTCCTGCCAAACTGCTGCAACTGTGCTCACTGCACGAGCAGCGGTCGGCAGCTCCAGACTCGGGTGAAAGCCTCTCTGCCGGCGTAAACAGAACTATTCACCTATGAAGACTCATCAACTATAGCTGAAGGTAATTGAGAAAATGAATGGGACCACTTGGAACGTGTCGTTCAGCAGGCCTGAACAGTTTCGCTCTTGAATGCTCAGGACTACGATCCGGTCACATCCCACAGGCGGGAGCCACTGAACCAATACGCGATGACAGCGTCACCTTGGCCTTTTAACAACATGTGAAAATCGAAATGTGATTTGTTTTCGCTACACTATTGTGTGGTCTCTGCGTATCAGTTGAATTCGTGCCACAGTGGAGCTGCATGGCAATGAGAGCAATTGCACGGGGTTGAACGAGCAGAAGGACTAATCGGAATGCGCACAAACAATCCAAAATGCTCGCGCTTAACAGAAAACCATGGGTTCCCCGAGCGTGCAGTACAGAAAAAAAAAGTGTTGAACACTGAACGCGGATCTTGCCCTCGGGTGTACGTTCACCCGAGATCATCGGTGGGATCAGCGCTCCGAATCCGCGCCATTACTTTCAGAGTTTCGTCCTTCGTTTTTCCACATCTTCTTAAAAACGATCCCTGTCAAAATGTGGAAGTCGCTGTTTCTCGTCGCCATCTCTGGCGCCCAGGTCTCGCGCGTTTCCGCAAAGGCCATTGCGGATGGATATACCCAAATGGGGCAACCATTCCGCTTCAATAAGAACTTTGTAGCGAGCGCACCTGCATTCGAGGAGTCGAGCTCTGAAGTATGGTGGCCAGCAACTGGAAGACCTCCGCTGCGGAAGGCCCAGCGAGCGTAAGACTTGGTTTTCAGTATTCTCCTCGGACCACAATCATGAATTTGAACAGGCATTTGGACGAGACATTTGATGTGGCCATGCACACAGACACATCATTCCCCAGCCCGTTCGAGCAGCCTGAGAAATGTGTTGCATTCTCTAGGTAAAGCGAATTCTGTTTGCTAGAAAGTTACCTTCACGAACTAACTAATGGAACGTTGCACTGCAGCCTCTCACACTCCTGGGTTTGCGACCCCGACCACTTACTCTCACCAGAAGAGCAAGCATTCGTTGAGACACGTCTCCTCAAGCTCCGTGATACTGCCCAGAGCAAGTGCAATGACGCCGACAACTACTACCAGGTTAGGACTATTATATCCGAAGCTTCATTCAATTCGACACATTGGAATGCAGACTGCGGTTGCCGTCGCCTCAGATATTGTGGTGAATGCTAATGAGACACCACAAGAAGCAACTGACCGCTTCGCCGAATCACTACTGAGGTACTGCTAAAATCTTCCTTTGGAGTGAAGGCATTCTTGCAGACGCATATCTTTGTCAGACGCTGGGGTGTGGGCAACAAGGGCTGTCACGATGGCATAGTTTTGGCATTTGTCAAGAACCTCAAGACCGTCAGTCTTGCCACCCGTGGTAAGACTAAATTACACTGTGGTCGAAACGCACACTAAACATATGTGTGCCATCTACCAGAAAACGTCGATGCCCGCGTCTCAAACTCAATGTTCAAGACACACATCCAGCGCTCAATGAACCATGTGTTCCTGTCGACTGGTTCTCCAGCTGCAGCTGTTGCTACAGGCGTAGAGCTTGTGAATCGTCACCTACCCCGCGCCCCCACAGGTACGATTTTGCAGTAGAAGTTGCCGTATTTCGCATAGCCATATATTTGACTGGAATCACAGGCCTGAGCTGGAGTGCTACCATCCTCCTCACGCTGGGCGGAGTCTACCTGGCTTCTGTCCTTGGAATATACTATTCGCTGAACACATTCATGCTGAAGAGCTACACCGTCGAACAGTAACTCTCCGGCGGGCAAAAAGCCCTTTGCGGGTTTGGCGCCCTGGTTTTCAAATAATAAAACGTTTCCCTGGGGCATGACAGCGCTGAAATGCATTCAGCTAAGAAAAAAGCCTGTTTAGCAACCACGCACTAGCGAGCGTAGTCAGTCACCAGAAACTTTGACAAATATGTTCAGGTGAACCCTGCACCCCCATAACTGTTCTAGCCTATATGTGACATTCTTCCGCATCTGCAGAAGTATGCGACCTCTAACGCCACAAATCATCTTCGCAACTTGCGCAGTCCTGACTAGCAGCTCCTGCGTCAATCCATCATCACAGCACAAACAATCTAGTGCACGTCTTGTGAAGTCTTCTACGCCAACATTACTCCCTCTTGACAAGCATTTGCACTCCGACGCCTTACTTGCTCAATAACGATTGAGCCGTCTTCTTGATACGACCAGCCCACTGTTTGCTGAGTAATACGATATGGGACGTCTTTGTTAAACCAGCAGAATAAATATGTCCTGATCAGTCAAAAAACGGAGCATGAAGCACTAGATGAAGTTGGTGTAGCATATACTCCTGCAGCAGGGAAGCGTTTGGCATCAATCGGTATTCACCTAATGAGTTCCTCGATCTGTTGCACTTTCGAGAGGCTTGTCCGCTGCAATTCACGCACAACAAAGAAGCGCAGTCAGTTCTCAGCCCTTACTGCAAAAATGTGGTACAACCACCGGAACTACCCATGGAACGTGAAGTTGGCATACCATATCTGGAGGAAACGACCATGGTCGCGGGACAGCTTCGCTTATCAAATAATCCAAAAGTGAATCTGTTCCTCTTCGATGTTTTGCCGAAACATGGAACACGCGCTGAAACAGTCCATGCGACCTGTACAACACACGCCATGCTGTTCCAGACTTAATGGCATTCGTCCGGTTCGACGCCTTTGCTAGGCCTCGGCACTCACTGAAACTCTTTTTCACGAGCGCGAATCCACTTCGGATGAGATGCCAAGTCGATCTGCAAGTTGCACAGAACAGGATATGTCCAGGCACAATTATTTCGTGCAGTCCTGATTCCCGGAAATATTGTGTTCGTGAAATCTCAAAATTGTACCTTATTGAGGCACAGAAGTATTGGGATCGTCAGCGAGTTTCCATCTTCTTCGCCATCTGTATGAGTTTTCGCCAAGCGATGCCGCACTGTCCCTGGAATTCCAGCTTTCCACATTTCACCCAAGGATGGCGGGCAGACTATGCCACCTGTCAGGGCTTCCTGCGAGGAACTTGAGCAGTTTGGCATGTTGGAGGTCCCTGAAAACGAAGACAATTTTCACCGAATCTGTTTAAACACAAGCAGTCGGAGGCACCTTGTCGAGAGCCTAGCTCGTCACCCTAACCACCGGATAGGACCAAGGACACCACTTGCATCCGGCACAGTGGTGCAGACACTTGCCTAAGTGATGGAATCCAAGTCTGGACAGACATGGCTTCGGCGCGATTGAACGAACAACATTAAAAATTTGCTGTGTGGGCCTTTTGACAGTATCAATGACCAGAATCCCCAAGTCTGCATCTTCCTGAGTGAAGCAACATCAAGAAGTAACACATTAGTTCGCGCAGTGCAGGCACATGCCAGCCGGGGAGTGGATACTAGCAAGACTGTTGAATGCCTTTCTTACATAACCCCTCCATGCTGCGTTAACGAGCTCCTTGCAGAAAGTCCTTTTCGGGTGTGACTCGATAATGCCTGCGTTGATCATTCCAGCACCCAACCAGAAGAACGACTTATGGTTCACAGTCTCAACTATGGGAAGCGAGAGCATGTTCACAGCAGCGCCAAAATTTCAAGACCAATCACCAGTCTCCAGCACTGCTTATTTTGTTGTGTGTGCCACCGCACTTCCCACCGCACCCACTAAGGACCATACCTGGTGCATCGACGAACACTAGTTGGCAGTTCCCCTTTGTCACCATTCCACGGAAGTCTGTCCTGTTGGCATCCAAAATGGCAGACACATGCGTCCAGAAATCCGTGCGTCTCCGGATTCACTAAGCAGTGTATATGTTATCTGATAAAAAGGCGGCGTTTACCTTGTCGTGTTCACCTTATTGGATACGGCCGAAACCGTAACTCCAAGGAATGCATTCAGCAAAGAACTTTTCCCTGCATTTGGTGGGCCAATTAGAGCTACAGTAAGCGACCTGGGGTGCGCCGGTTGAAGGGGAGGTTTCCACGTGGCAAACTGTGCCTGCAAGCAGAGCCTCCAAAGTTGTGTTTGCACATGCAATATTCCGTGGGAAGCTTTGCAGAGGGAAGACTGGCGAAGTGACAAGACATGGGCTTGCTAGGCACGTCCTGTTGCTGAGGTTCTGAGATGCATATCACACCTCAGCTGGAACGGGATCTCTCGCAACAGGCCGATGGAACGACGGGCGGGTTGGAGGCGGCTGAGGCGGTGTTGCAGGTTTGGCTGCGCGTCCACCAGAACAACAGCGCAGATAGAACCATGGACTACGTAGTATTTATACAGATGTAAAGGCTTGGGGAGAAAACCCCAGGACTGAACGGTGGAGGTCTACAAGCGCCTGGGAAACAGGTACAATACAGCACTGATTTGGAGTTCACTGCACGTAGCCAGCATACCCGGATCATACAAGGGCGCCGGTTCTTCTCCGCCCACATCTGGGGGCGTTTCTGGTAAAAGAGAGCCCAAACTGAGCTCATTTCTAGCCTGAGCGCAAGGAGAACCATTCTATAAAAACTGATTGGCCCCCCGCTTAGGATCAGTGCAAGGACGGCACGTTCGTATCTACTTCTAAGCCACTCTACCGCTTTAACCGTTCACTGCTAATTTTTCGGATCTGCCCACTCTGTTGTATCGCTCCATAATGGAAAAAAACCGCGCATGGATCAGTTGCTGTGGAAGCGTCTGGCCCCCAGCAAGCGGCCAGGGTCTGAGGCACTTCTTGCAGCATAAGCTCCATTGTGAAACTCTTGGCAAGTGGCCCATTACCCCTTCGGTGGAAGAAGAGCAACCCCTAGATGAATTGTTCGTGCTCCAGGAATACGCTTCATCCGTCTCAGAGGGCAACCCGACGCCCGTGACCGGATGGACTTCAGCTGCAGCTGCACTCGCAACCGCCGGATTTACAACGTTTGGTCCAGATTCGGTAGGGCATTCAGAAGGCGCCTCTTTCGTTGAAATAGGGAATGTTTTTACACTGAGCAATCGCCGACGGGGGCCCCTCTGCCTTAGTGACCACCTAGGGGACAGCACAGGAGTGGTCTTTGCCAAAACTCTGTGGGCTGAATAATTTATCATCTGTTATAAAAGGAAAACTCTAAACAGGTTAGCTCCTGAGCAAACATAACGGCGGTACCGTATCGTCTCCGCCAATCGAACGCGCCGCCGACCCAGTCCACATGCAACGGGCCCAGAGCAGCTGTTCNCCGTATCGTCTCCGCCAATCGAACGCGCCGCCGACCCAGTCCACATGCAACGGGCCCAGAGCAGCTGTTCTATACTTGCCTCAGGAAGCTTCGATTTCACAGTATTGATAAAGTTTAATTCCAGTTCATTTAAATTGTTTCCCCCGCATTTGTGTGTGGTTCCGACGCTACCTCACGGACAGTACATCGAAACCTCGAGTGGACCCCACTGAACATATGTCCAGGTAATGAGAAGTGTAAGTTTGTCCATAAAGCAATATATATTCTTTGAATTTGCCTCGGAAGGTATTTCTCCTTTCAGATGGCACTCCCCAATCAGCTAGTACTGTCCACATACCCATGCAGAGCGCATGCGCTCCGGTTGGCGCTTGGACACTATGAAGCCTTTTGGGAAGCATTTATAGTGACCTTATTTGGGAAGTGAAAGAAAGGAATATTCCCTGAACGTTACATGTCATAAAATCCACTAAAATGCTACAGCTGGACCGTCCTTCTCTAGAGCAGCAGCAACGTCTCAAAGGGTAGCTGCATCCTGAAGGGACGACGAGATTGTAGCTGTAGGTCACGTAAGAATGTATCATCACTAACTAAGCCCGACGTAGGTTACTCTGTCGGTCTCGACTGGGGTGTTCTACCGACGGCCCTGCTTGCTGAAAGGTATGTATTAAACTGTTCGTTCCACAACTACGCTACGACAGAAGTTTGAGTCCTTTGAAAACCCTGCCGGCACTTTTCCTTATCGGTATAGAGGCCAGTGCGGTGGGGATCATCTCCGGCTCCTCTTGCCACAACTTGTGGCCGACTTGTTTTTGCACAAGCTTCTCCCGTAGTTTCAGCAACTCGCCCTCATCTGAGACCTGCAGAACTACAGTCCTCATGCCACTGCCTTCTGCCAAATACCTCCTCGCTTCCTCTCTACTCTGTTCCATTGCCAGCCCCAGTGCATCCACCCTGCAAAGAAGAAGAAACACGCATGCACAGCAGAAGAACGATGGGTAAAGCCCTTCTAGCTCAAGAGTCACATCTGAGATCTGATTCACGGAGAGCATAGTTATAAGGAAACGAACACTACCCAGTACGTAGTTGTGATCCAGTAGATAACTGTGTTTTCTCCTTGGGCAGTCGCAGTAGGCAGCCCTTTTGATATGTTCTGTACTCATTTCAGGCGGTTAGATCGAAACAGCTAAGCGCTTCTCTGTTTTGGTATTCTTCCCAAAAGTGAAACTCACGCAGCATGACATGCCTGCGCCACTACTGCCCCCAGAGGCCACTGCAACTCAGACGCCAAGTCTCGGCGAACCACCACGTACTGCACTAGAGGATCCCATTCTCCAGAAGACGAAGTCCCTGTAGTAGGTGCATCTGAATGCACATTTCCTGTGGGTGGGGTATCAGACGGTAGCATTGTAGGATGAGACACTCTGTTCACAGCACGTGGTGTTGAAGGGGTATGTGACGCCGACAGCCCTCGGAAACGTTCATAAAGGAAAGACACGCAATGTTGAGGTTCTCTGTTTGGGTTTACGGATAACTCAGCACTTTTGGCCCAGCAAATATTTCGAGTGTTCCGCAATGAAGAGGGAAGGGCCCTTGCCTCGGCGTGAGCTGCCAGATCACCAACTTGAATCCGTTGATCCAACAATTTTCCTTTCCCCCAAGAGAAGGTACAGATGGATTTCGTTTTGAGTACTTCCCTGAGCAGGTTCAGCCCCTGCACACTGCAGAGTCGGCGAATTTCATCTGCATGCGTCTTCAGTAACCAGACAGACATCGACACCACTGCGCCGTAACAACGCCTGCAAATGAACACCTGGCATATGCAGGAAATAAAGAATTTGTGAGTGGACGAATGAATTGCATTTCAAGGCGCCATCAAGAACAGAACGTGTTCTGGAGGATCCCAGGGACTGTTCGCTGCCTGAGCAGAGAGCACAGAGCTCGTAGTGCCCATCGGTGGTTGTTCGACTGCAGCACAATACTACAATGGACTTTGCGCAGAACCAAATTTATTAAAGTTTGTACTAAAAACCAAAAGAATAGCAAAAATTAAATTAGGTCACCCGAGGGAAATTCCATATCCAACCGGCCTCAATGTGCACGAGTCTGCCCACCAGGCTGGTACCGTTGCTCATCTTCTCCCCGTTAATTAGATCGTCTGCAGTGTATAACCACTTCAAGTACAACGCAAGTAAAGCATCATCCTGGCAAACTAATAGCCTCTGAGCGCTTACGCGATGCCGTATATTCGTGCCCGCGTGTGTGAGTCTCGATGAGGGTAGACGGAATGGCAACTTTGCTAGGTTTCTCGCAAGTCCCAGTCGAGGGAGCGGTGCCGTGCTACCTGTGGTGCATTGAACGGCACAGTATATTACATTTGACAGTTTTGAGAGCTATGGTCTTTGTTTGTATCAACACGAGCAGAAAGACAGCCATCTTGGACAGTTTGTCAATCAAGAGGTGCGGCAGCTTGCACTGCTATTCTCCAGTGCAACATACAATGCTCAAGTTCGCAACAATTCAAAGCTTCTTCTTCTAGTTAGAATCTTGGTCCCTGGGTGTAGGTCAGTGGCAAGCACCGAGCATCCAGTTGGTGTTGCCCAAGGAAGTGTAACACCGTTACACCCTGCTGGTTCGAGCCCCAATGAAGGCGTAACCAATTGGGGTATGAAATTCAACGTCGTGTTGGCGTAGTCATACGCACGGTTGTTGCAGCCCGGATGCCTAAGCCAGAATTTGCGACAGCCTCTGCTGCCGGCCAAACTGCAACAATTTATACCAATATACCAGCTCTAGGCATTATGCTGATTCCGTGGGAACGATCGAAGGGTTCAAGGGCGCAGGCGCTACACCGTCTAAGCCTACATGCCAGTAGCACACAGTAGACATCCTAGTTCTCCCTCATTGTGTTTATTTAAACGTGACAAAAAGAAAATTCGTTGCTATTAAACTGTGACAAAGACAAGGTTCACTAGCTCGTCCATCACGTAGTATCCGCACCACGAACGGACACCAGTGAAAACTGTTCTGTTATGTGTAAAGCCAGAAACACAAGCCACCAAGGCTTCCCGCATGCTTTCATGCAGGATGTCAATGAGCTCATGTGTTGGTTAGAGGTCCACTTGGCTGCACTAAATACTAAAGACAGCTAATTAGGCTGGACGAGCGCTCGAACCCAGAGAGAAGGCGGCAATCCACAAAATCCGTAGTTCAGCGGCGCTGGGTATTCTTTGGCCGAGGGCGGATATCTTCCTCCTTCATCTACGAACGCAAAAAGCGCAAATGCTGAAGGCTGCCCTGCTGCGCGCTGAGCAGGCAATGCGTAAGATGTGTTTCAATGTTTGGGTAGGGTAAACTGGCAAAACAAAGCAAGTGCGAGTCCTCACCGCATGAATATAAATGTGGTGCCCCTTGGCCAGCTCCTGCTGGTCGGGGCCCTGGAAACAAACACACAATGCAAAAAGCTGCACCGATTATGCAGCCTACTCCGCTACACGGACTATAGGACAGGAGGGCCTGTAGGAGCGCAGCGGTGTCTTTCAAATAAAGATTTCGCGGGACTTGCCTTGTTCCAATCGTAGGATACTGCGTATGCCAACGCTGTGGATGTTGGGTCATACTTCAAATCAGCAATTGGTGCACCCGCAGGTTCGAAGGTCTTCAGTCTGGCACCCACAATAAGTCAGAACGAGACTGTCACCCATAACTATGCGAAAAATGCAACATGGAGGACGTAGTGCAGAGAAAGGCACTTAACTATCTGCGAGTTGCGGTTGCTAAGAACGTTGGGTTAACGGTGGCAAGACACACTTTTGTCTCGATTCTTTGTCCCAGCAAACAATAACTCCATCAGACCCCTGAAATCAAGTAATTCACCCAACAATTTGATATCCAGTTGTGAGCAACTCCCCGCCTTTAACGCATCCAAACCCTCGCCCTACTCGCGGAGTTGTGCTGAGAGCCGATGTTATGCTCTCCGCCCGAGCACCAACGCAGCAGCTTTCGAATGACGTACGCCAGTGCTAAATGNAGCCGATGTTATGCTCTCCGCCCGAGCACCAACGCAGCAGCTTTCGAATGACGTACGCCAGTGCTAAATGACTTCAGCTTGCTGAACGAAATTGCATTTACGGAGTATATCTGCAGCTGCTGCTGCGGAACATCTTGCCGGTGACACCGGTAGCTGAAGTCCATATTTCTGCAAGAGATGCACAGGTGTAACAAGCTGATGCGACTAACTCACTGAAAACCCCACTGCTTTTCCCTTCTGCCCTCATTTCTGAAACCCTGCCAACTGAACAAATCCCGTTGCCGAAAGTAAGGCATATGACGCGTGGCAGTTCGTATCTCACCTATGAGCTTCTTTTATGTACAACATGCTGCATCGCCCTTCTACACTGCCAATTGCGACCCCTGGAGACTGTGAAGCGTCGTCGGGAAAAAACGCCATAGAACGCGTCTGCATTTTCTGGTACTGAGACCCTATTTTCGTAATAACGGGTATCGAGGCCGCGGCCGCGGCACTCGGGGTGTTTACAGCAAAGGCCGTCTGTCCCTGTTGCAGTAAAAGGGGAACATTCAGGACTACGCAGTCGTGGAAGGTATCGCAGATTCCTAAGAAACAGTCGTGGAAAGCTGCCTTGCAGATCTGCACGCAGCAAAGGACAACCAGCCACCTCGCATCCACCATTGAAACAGGCATCGAATGTTGTATTGAGTTCTGTATTCCTGCAGAGATCAAAAGTGAAACAACTGAGCAACTGACGCAAACTATGCTGACATGCAACACAGAATCATACCCAGGTAGACCAGAAAATGCGAGCTGTCTACTGCAAATGCGTGTTTTTGTGCATTTCATACTTTGGCACCAACATTTTGTTGCCAAACCGGGTTCGGCTGCTTCCCGTCCCACATCTTTACGCTTCCATCCCAGCTTGCTGCACGCATCGAACGTATAAAGTCAGTTCGGGAAAAAGGGTCTCTGCCACAGGTTTCAAGGCACAAAGGCAGTTCGGGAGCCTAATCTCACAGCACGAACGAACGCCAATCGAACGAATTCAAATCCACTCANACAAAGGCAGTTCGGGAGCCTAATCTCACAGCACGAACGAACGCCAATCGAACGAATTCAAATCCACTCAGACAGCAACATTCGCGTGCAGGGAGTATTCTTTAGCTCAGAAGGAAGAGACAAGGATAAGGGTGACTCCCCACTAATAATGATTACAGGGTATGAACTCACTGCTGATAACCAATTTGTGCATGGGATTCCACGCGACACAGTTTACGGGTGCGTCGTGCTGCAGAATACACATACATTGAACTGTGCCAACACCATACTCAGTATAGCGAGAAGGGAGCCTGGCAACTGGAATTAATTGCTTCAATATATCTACCTTAAACTTCTACGCCGCAATTGGCGAGCCAAGGCGTTCATTCACCTGTCCAATGACTTGGCCCGTGGTACGGCCGCTGATGAGGTCGTAGGCTTTGACCTGTTTGTCACATCCCGCCGTAAGCAGCATCTGTGTAGTCTGCAGAGAACCGAGCGTGGACGCAAGCACGCATCAGAATACAGTTGTGGATGTGTGAGTTACAGCAGCAGCCCTTGCAATCACAACCACACGGTCAGCTAGTAATAATAATAGTAACATTGTGCGTGGGAGATGCACTTACGTCGCCGAAGCAGCAAGAGAGAATTGGGGCAGTTTCCGTGAAGAGAGNTTGTGCGTGGGAGATGCACTTACGTCGCCGAAGCAGCAAGAGAGAATTGGGGCAGTTTCCGTGAAGAGAGACTGCGGATTTCCCTTGTAGATGACTTGACCGTTGGTGCCGAAAGCCGCCGGCTGAGTTGTGATTTGCCACACACGGCATGTCCGGTCCCAGGAGGCGCAAGCAAGAGCCTGACCATCTCGAGACTGAAAACAAAACAGTAAAAATGTTCAATCCAAACTCATCGAAGAGCATGCACACTGGAATGCCGCAAGTTCCGCACCGTGCATGCCGCCAACCGAACGCAAACGTCGAAGCTTTTTAGGGTAATTTCATATATACGGTGGATATACGCATTTGTAGATAGGTAGCGAAGGGAAATCGCCGTACCCAGGCTAACTGAGACACCGAGTCAGAAGGGCCATTCGGCAGTTCCGTTGAGTTTTGCTTTGAATAGTAATTGGCCGATTCCGTTGTGGTACGACCGAATCCAAATGCCATTTTCCGGATTTCTGCAGTTTGACACCGACCGAATTCAAGGCGTTCCGTAACCTAGTTGGTGAAGGCTTCGCACCAACGACTTTAGACTCCGTTCGTTTTCGTCCTATCCGCTCTTACAAGTTTGAGACCGAGCTGCTTAATTGCGGCTGAGCGCTTCCACTTGCGAAGCCCGCTAGAAACACAGGCGATATCCTGTTATTTGTCTCCCGTTCGTGGAGTCTTTCGGACGCTAGACCGAAGATAAATACCATGGATCCCTGGTGGAACTGAGGAGTTGAAAGACTCAAGGATGTCGTGCGTTTCCTTCCACCCTCCCCCGTAGCATCAACTCTTGGTGTCACTTGTCGTGTTGCGCGCTCAGCGTGAGTCCCCCTGAATATGCATTTAGAAAAAATGCAGGGAATCGGAGGACCGCAAAATCACGAGAGCGCTGGGGCTGAACCCGTCTTCCGCCGGATGGCTACCCCTGGGCAGCTTAACGGCTTTCCAACGCCGCACTCCATGGAGACGTTTGCGTACGTGCACGGCCGAGGGTTTCAATATCTGATGAGGGCTAGGGATGAGGAGTCGCTCGTGCCGGCTTTCAGCGGCGTCCGAGTGTCTGCACGGTGGAACGCATAAAGCACGGGCACAGTTAATGACAAGGCAAGGGCAAACATGAGAAACCTTATAATTGAAAGGCGAAGATAGACAACACAGTGATAACCGGCTACAGTGCATGCCCACCAACTACATGGGGCCCGTTCCTGCATGCGCCCTCGAAGAAGACATGCAGTGAAAGATTGTGCCTATCAGCCCACTGTTCTCCGCCAGAACAACATTTTCTTCCAAAGTTTCACAGCAGTTCATAGCGTGCTGTAGGTTTGCCAGACGACGCTCAACCTCAGCATCCCAGTCAGCTCCGCGGTTCAACTGAGGCATTCTGCACTGCACGTGGCGGCGTTGCCGTGACCCTTGTCTCTTCTGTTTCTCTTTCGATCAAGAGTTTGTCTGGGGAGGGTAGAGGAGACATGGTGTCCCTTGGGACAGTTCGGCAGACTGCCGCTCCGACGAAGGCAGCATGTTACCTCAACAAGGAAGCGAAGGCTTCTGGAGCCCGAGGCAGCGTTCATCCGCAATTTCAGCGCAACATCAGACCATGCAACGTCACCTTACTTATAAATCTGCCATGGGGGGGAACTTCTGTCGCCTCCGTGCCCCTAAAAGATCTTCCTCTGCTCACGGCCGCTGAGGCGCAGAGGCTGGCTTTCGTAGACAGAAGGGGCGCATCTGCTGTTGAGAGGCTTGCCAACTCCACTAGTATTCAGAGTTCTCCATGTGGCCTGTATATCCCTGGCCACTTTCTTCTTTCCTTTGCTGCAGCGCGCGCAGGCTTCCAGACGGCAGAGGCAGCTTCGAAGCTGCGCTTGCTGGTGCAGCAGAAGGAGGTCTTTCCACATACATGCTTGCCACTAGAGACAATTGTTGGGGATGAAGCAGCGCTTGCGTTAGCTACAGATTGGGGCTTCGCCGCCCCAGCGGCAGTCGAGTCGACGGCAGGAGAAACATTGCCAAGTGCTCCACTGTGCTCGCTCTGGCTTCTCCTGAGGTTGCCAGGAGGCAAGGGTGGTTTCGGTGCCTTGTTGAAGAAACAGCGGAGGAGGAAAAGGGCGAATTTCTCCATCGATGCATGCAGGTGGGTGAAAGGGTTACGACAACAGGAGCTCCGAAAGAAGTGTCTGCGTTGTTGCTTGTAATGAGTGCTGCTGAAGCCCTCGTTGCAGCGTTGCAGCCTAGTTTGTCCCATAGGCCATTCTGCGGTTCTTCATTTTTGTTATCTGCTGTAGAGATCTAACTGGAAGGAGGATAAGACAGGCCCAAGTGGTCACACGGATCAAAGAGTGGATGGAGAAAAAGAGGAAAGAAGATGCTCTTGTAGCCGCGCTGACTCAAGGCACGCCAGAAAAGGTGCCGGTGGGTATTCAAAAAGGCAGAACAGGCAAATTTTTGTGTGCCCTCGCCTCTTGCTGACGCCCTTGTCCAGCCGGATTTTTTGGCGGGGATGTTTGCTTTTTTTTGTGTGGCTTGTGTATATGTGAAGGAATCCAAGCCAACTGTAGCGTTAGATGACGCATTTATTTCCGAGCAGTTGTCCCTGGTCTCGGAGATGCCATCTGTTGTTGCCCATGGCGTCAAAAAGCAAATGGAACTGCGGTATGTCTGCCTGGCAATTCGACTTGGTAAGGGGCAGGGGAGGTGTGCGTATGCATAGTCGTGCGAACTGTACCACGAAGGGTCTTCTCCTCGTAGGAATAGTATTTGCGTATGGCATGCCATTGCTTATACTTCTGGACGTTTCCGTAGGAAGAAAATGGAAGAGGAGCAGCGCAGTCGCGCTACGGCGCTACAGAACCGGGAACTGTTCTCCCAGCTGCGTGACGCTGTTGAGCTCGACAGCGAAGATGATCAGTGGTCCGACACAGACGGAGGCTCAGTAAGCAGTGTTGTGGAGGAGGACAGTGCCAGCAGCAGCAACAGAAGTTCATCATCTGATAGTCCTAGCGGCGTCACATCTGAAGCCAGTGCCACTGCCGGTGTGAGCAGCAAGCGTACACAAGGAGGCACAGCTGCCACCAGCAGCCAGAGTGCCCTTGCAAGCTCTTCAGATACCAGTAGGTCCAAGTTGAACCCTGCTTGCGAGGGCAGCACGAAGAAATCTGCAGCGGAGAGTCCTAGAGTTGACCCAGCAGCGGCGGCACTAATGCAGGAGTTGGAGCAGATGCGCCTGAAGGCTTCAGCTGCGCGGGAGAAAGAGCTCCAGAGACAGGCAGAAGCAGCAGCGGAAGCAGCTCGGGCGGCAGCTCTAGCGGAGCAAGCTGCAGCGGAGGCAGCTGCGAAAGTGGCTAAAGAGGCGCAGCAGCTGGATGTGAGCCGTTTCAACACAGCCGAAGAGCTTGCGAAGGCCGTAGATGCGGCAGGTCAGTATCTGTTCATATGAAGTACATACTTCTGCTTATTTTCTTGATCTCTGCATCAGTATACGTACTAATTGTCAGCTATTTCTTCTGTTTATTCGTTATTTTCGTGGAAAGCATTTGCCGCATGCGCTCTAGCCAGTCGTTCAGGGATATTGCCTCATCTGCAGCCTGCGGACAGCCACTGCTTGTGCATTTTGTTTTTGCGGCTGCAGTGGTGAAGGAGAAGCTGCGGCA